ACATAACACCTTTCAGGAAAAGTCCACCGACTGGACGACTTTAATTATTTATTGAAAAAAAGTTACATTGCACACAACACACATATATCATCACTATTGGACCTGATTTGGCGGTTCTGAGTGTTAAATACCTCACTAATTTAATGGAAACCAGTTCATACGCAGTGTTCTTATTCTTTATATTCTTATGAGCGTTAGAATAGTCTTAAAATCAGATCTGTTTTTTAAATGATAATCTGACGGCAGTGTTGTGTTTTTCTTCTTGAAGATGCGTCGCATCTAATCGCTGGCCATCCGCAACAGACAAGCCGAGGAAATGGGGGGGACTAGGAGGAGCTTGCTCCCCGAAGAGGCGAGGGAGCTCCCCTGAATCTGACTTTGCGGATAATTAGGGGGAGCCCAAAAAATCGTGCAATATTTGTGTCACACAGATTAGAAATCGTTAGTTTCTGTAATAACAGTTCTTCGAAATAATAATATTAGATTGTTTCTTTACAGTTTCTGAATATTTGTTTTGATATTTGTGAATATGTGCTGGTGTTGCCATTGTACGTGGCGGCGCTGCCTTCTTAACTTCCGGTTCTATTGGTTTATTGCGGTGGATGCCGGCGCGTTATTTGAAGATGGTTCATTTGATATTTTTGTAACTCTGGCTTTGTAATAAAAAAATGAGCGAAAACGAAAAACACCAAGCTCACAGCTTTGATCACAACAAAGAAGCGAAGATGTTAAAAAGCACGGTGAACGGAAAACAACTTTTAGTTGACCGGTGTAAGCGGCGGTTAGTCGAGCTTGACAGCTCCACCGAGGAAGCCTGCCGATGCGGAGCTGAAGAGCTTCAACAACGGCGCACATCCGCGGCATAGTGACACCGTCTGTACTTAGTAGATAAGAGTGTTTTTATAGCAATTGATCGCATCCGGCGATGCGTGCGCCAGTCCAGAGCGTGCGTGTGGACATTTTACGTAGCGCAGGATGTGCTCTGAAAAATTAGGGTCTCCCCGGAAAGCAATGGGGTAATTCGAAAACTGACAAGCTCCTCTATACAAATCAAACTGGCGACCGGTGTGAAAGCACCGTCATTGGTTTACTACATACATGGTCGCAATGTTACCTGTGAGCCTTCTGAATTACCGTGGGTTTTGACCAGCACATTCTAAAGTAAAATGTTCAATCAATAAATTACATCTTAGCTTATCTTAATAATATCCGGTTCATATTGAATAATAATAATAATACATACAGTATGTCGTCCGAAAGGGAGATGGAGGAAGCAACACAAAAAATATACAAGAAGTATACTGCTATTAAAGCAAATCGATTCGTTGAAGGTTAAAGTAT